TGAGGGAGGGACCACAGTCCGGGTGGGAGGGGCCGGTCGTGAAGCTTCCTGAGCTAACCTTTGCTTCTCATAATGTGCATAGATCAGCGGTGCCGATGCTTTCAACTTTGCTCCTGAAATCCACCGAGTGTAGTCGCGATCGCAGGCTTTGAATGACACTTTGTACTGGCGCGGCTTGCTGCCGTACTTGCGATCGGTGATGGCGCGGTCAACTTCCTGATGACCATCCATAAAAGGAGGGTCCTGCGATCGTCGGCCCGGAAAGTCATCGCTCTTAGCTAGCGTGTATGTTGCCAGCTTTGAGGCGTGAAAGACTGGATGGACCGTCAGATGCGGGGGAATGTTGATCACAAATGAAGGGCCATCGGGCTCATCGCCCGCGGCTGACGCTACGGGCCATGGTCCAAACCACTTGGGAAGCAGTTTGCGTGAAACCTCCTGTTCCAGTGCAAGTTCTTCCGCGCAAACCCAAACCAGGTCGCCGGCGCGGATGGGACATGGCACGTGATGCCTGTTGGCTTGCTGCTGCATCCGGACTTGAGCCTCTTGCATATTTGCGCGGGCTTGAGCCAGCAATTCCCTGTACTTCCGGACGGAAGCGGGAGAGCAAGCGGCATCGATGTCGGCTGGTCGTGGGAGGAGAAGGTCGGCGAAGATACGGCCTTTCCGTCCACCGTGGTGCAACTAGAATGGAGTCACGCCGATCATCGGGTGCACCAAAGTGTTGTAGGCGAACTCGATGTTGGGGAGGCGGTCAACCCAATCTTTCTGGTACGGACGGATGAACGTACGAAGCATCATTTAAGCGGTTAGATATGCCCGCTCCATCTGCCCGTCTGTTTGTGGATGCCGAGCCGAACTTGGCTTCATCTTCGTGCCGGACTCCTGCATGAGAGCAGTCCAAAATGCCGACATGAAGCGAGTGTCGCGGTCGCTGACTATGTCGTCCGGTACACCGTGGCCACAAATCCAACCGGTGTGCAAGAGGCGTGCCAGCTCGGGAGCCGTAGAGTAGTACTTGCAAGGGAGAAAACTCGCATACTTACTCAAGCAGTCCACAACCGTGAGGATGCCGTCGTGTCCGAGGCGGTCGCGGGGGAATGGTCCGGTGACATCCATGGCAATGGAGAGACCGGGTTCCTGCGGGATCGGCATCGGGCGCAGCTCGCCGTAGGGGTTGCGGTTGCGAGGTTTGCTTCGTCGGCAAACTTCGCAAGAGTCGCATTACCTCGTGACGTCGGTGATGAGGTCTGGCCATCGGAATCGTTGTCGAAGCCGTGCAATAGTGCGGTTGACTCCGAAATGGCCGGCGAGTCGCGAATCATGATACTCGCCAAGGAGGCGAGTCCGAAGACGGCGGTCGCGTGGGACACATAGTAAGTCCTTGCCCCGCAAGTGCAGGAGCAAGTACCCATCGGCGATGCGATAATGGTTGGCCGGCGGGTGATCCGAAGATAGCTGCGCATATAGCGTGGCGAAATCTGTATCGGACTCATAGCCCCTGATGAAGTGTCGCTGGAGCTCGTCGTCGAATGCGAAGGCATGATGTGTCATAGCGCAAAGATCAGGTCTTCGCGAGAGTGCATCTGCTGCGCGATTGGAGAGGTCGGGAAGATGTTTCGGTGTGAAGTCAAATTGGTCGATGAAGTACATCCATCGTCCGATCGTGCTGCTCACCGTATCCTGCGTGTTGTAGTAGGTCAATGGATTGTTGTCTGTGACCCATGTGAACCTACGACGCCCAAGGAGGAAGTGTCGCCAACGCTTGAGAGCCATCACGAATGCGAGCAGCTCCTTCTTCCTTGCATCATCAAGCGAGTTGATGGGAGACACTTTGTGGCTGAAATACTCCACAGGGTGTCAGTCGTCGCCGTCGTGCTGTTCCAAGACTGCCCCAATGATATAGCCGGAAGTGTCCGTAGTCACTCTCGTCGCCAGGGTGGGGTCATAGATGCTAAGGACGGGTGCCATGAGCATAGCCGTCTTAAGTGCTTGGAATGACCGGCGTGCGTCGTCATCGAATACGAATGGCGCCTTTGGCAATTGTAATCTCGTCATAAGTGCAGCAATCCTCGAGTATCCGGTGATGAATCGTTGATAGTAGCCCGCCAATCCCATGAATGAAAGGACGTCCGTGGTGTTGGTGGGCTCGGGCCATACTCGTAGGGCCTCGATCTTGTTCGCAAGCGGACGGATGCCTTGCGGCGTCACATAATGTCCCAAGTACTCCAGCTCCTGCCGCACGAATTCGCACTTGTCGCGGTTGGCTTTGTACTTGGCCTGTCCTAGCCGCTCCAAAACGGTGCGCAGGTGTTCCACATGCTCCTCCAAACTTCGGCTGTACACCAGGATGTCGTCGAGGTAGATAAGTACGTATCGATCCAGCATGTGTCAAAATTCCGTTGTCATAGCTGCTTGGAAAGTGGCAGGGGCATTCGTAAGGCCAAATGGCATAACCAGCCATTCAAAATGCCCATATCGCGTCTTAAATGCGGTCTTGTAGCGATCCTCCTTCCGAATCTCGAGTTGGTGATATCCCGACTTGAGGTCCAGCTTGGATAAGAACTTGGCACCGCCCAATCGCTCGAGAAGATCGTCGATGCGTGGGAGAGGGCCGACGTTTCTGATTGTCTGTGCGTTGAGCTTGCGATAATCGATGCACAACCGCAAATCCTTGTTCTTCTTCCGGACGAAGAGAACAGGAGCACCGTATGGCGATGAGCTAGGCCGAATCCAACCTTTCTCTAGAAGGTCGTCGAGTTGTGCCCGAAGCACACTTAACTCTTCCTTGCTCATTCGGTAGATGCAACCGCGCGGAGGTACGACCCCGTCCTCGAGGATAATCTCGTGGCCGATGGGCCGATCCAATACTACTCCGTGCGGGCCTTCGAACACGTCGCTGTAGGCGTCGAGAAGTTCGGTGATGCGTGGATCCGAAAATGAGTCCGTCGATGAAGCGTCATGGGGCGGGAGGGCGTGGAGAAAACACCCCCCCATCTCCTCAATGTCGTCTCTGATGATGGAAGCTCGCATGCTTGCGGTGGATACCACGTGGCAGTTGATCGAAGGATGAGGAAAAGGCACCGTGCATGGGACTAGTATTTCGTTCCGATCACGAATGTGAACGGTGCGGTTATAGAAGTTCACCGAGTGATCCTCGTTTCACAGCCATAACATGCCCAAGATCATGTCAAATTTGGTGTCCAGAATGTCAAAGGATACCGCCTCACTTGCGTGAGGGGCAAAGTACACTGGGACGTCATCAATGCACCGGTCGATTGACTTGTGCGTGTGACCGTCCGCCAACGTGACTTGCGTGGGCTGGGGATTCCTTCAGACGCGTGGGCCAAGGTCGGCGCGCACCATGAAGTCCCGGTTGATCTAGTTGCGAGATGCTCCGCAATCGATCAAAGCGCTGCAGGTCGCCTCTCCGATCTGAATGCGTACATATAGCAATGGTGCGTCGATGTCGTCGTACCGTTGCGTTTTGAACTCGCAGTCGATCTTTGCAATGTAGGCGTGAAGGTCGACAACCTCTACTCCGGCGTCCATCAACGGAGTCGGTACTGCAATGTGCAAGTAATCCCGCAATTGTGCCATGAGCACGTTGCAATGCGGTTTCGGCAATCGTCCGGTCGAGGGAACGGGCATCCATTGGAAGTCCACGAACGTCAATGGGTCGAGCTCTTCAAGTCTTGACCATGACGTCGAATCCCCGGCAATAGATGGCGGCGAAGCTGCCGAATCAGTTGCCGATGGTGATGAAACCATGCATGCGGTTGATTGTTGCACGTGGAGCGGTTGGTCCAGCGGTGGAACCAAGTGGACAACATAGTCCTCGTAAGTGTATCGAGAACTTACGACATTCACATCCTCCCCAGATGTGCAGGAGGCCGCTAGCAAGGCGGCCTAATCTGGCGGAGTGGAAGGTGGAGTCGCCTCACCTCCCGCGAAACTCAGTTTCCCGAGTTGAGACGGGATCGCACAGCCTCCTTGGCCTGATCCTGGCAAAGGGAGGTCTTGGGCTTGGTGTTGTTGCACCAGTAGCAGCAGCCGTGGCGGTCACGGTACTTGTACTCCGCCTCGGTCAAGCTAAACTTGACCCATGGTGCTGGCTGTCCATTTCCGACCTGCGATGCTGGTTTCTCCTTCCCATTGTTCCGGGACTTGTTGTTGCTTTGCGGCTGGACAGCAGCCACCTGATCTCCGTCACGTGATGCCGGAGTGGCTGCAGGGTCTTCTCCACTGTCGTGCAGCTGCCCTGTTGGTCTTGATGATCTCTCTCGCCTTGTCAATGATCTCGACGAAAGTGGTATACTGCTCGCGATCACCAAGTGCCTTGCTCAGCGCAGCGCATGACCTGTTGTAGAACTCACGACGTAGATGCGTGAATGGTAAGTCCAGATCGGGCACGGCCGCGATCTTCTGCCATTCCGTGAGCTAGTCACGTGTTGCTGTGTTGCCCTGAGACATGGTGAAGAGACGGTTGATGGCGAGTGCTGGTGCGTCGTCGACGATGAACCGCTTCTTCCACAGCCGTGTTAACTCTTCCCATGTAATCTTGTCTTTCAAATCCGCGACGTCGACGCCGTGGGTGGCTGCCAGGTGGGTCAACCAGGTCTGGCATCCGTCCTTTGAGTTAAGGAACAGGGCGCTGATGTACGCGTGCTTGGCGACAGGCAGAATCCGAAGTTGCGTCGTGAATGCTTCCCACGAGAGGACCGGATCCTGATGTGTGTAATCGTCGAACTTCTCCAGTTGGAAAGTTGGCATCTTGTACAACTTTGGATTGCCATCCGAGTTCGTCGACTGCAGTTGTTGGACCTCGGTCTTCAACGTGTCCAACTGGCTGCTGATGGTGGTTGGCGCCGCAAAGGTGCTGATGTCACCGAGCATTGCCACTACGTGGTCAACGCGTTCCTCCAGTTGGCGGCTAGAGGGTCCACTGCTGGAAGCTCCAACATCTGGTCCTGGTACAGCCTGTTCCAGGTCCAGTACACGGGAATTGAGTGCCCGTGTTGCATCCTCGTGGCTCTGCACCATCCGGCGGAGGTTTGCCAACTCCTGGTGTTGTGTCTTTAGATCCTGGTACTGTTGCTTCAGTTCCTGGTTCTGTCTCTCTAACTCCGACCGTTGGTAGCTGCAAGCATACAACAACCGTGTCACAAGTTTGGAGAGGAACTCCTTATGCTGCTCTTCCGGTGTTGCGTCGTTGCCGTTCGGTTCAAAGTGCCAGAACTTGAGTCTCTCGATGCTGTTGGCTTCATGCCACTGCAGCAGATCTTGGGCTTCCTTGCGGCGAGCCTGGGCATCTGCGTCTGCTTCGGCCTGTAGCCGCAGCTTCTCTGCTGTTGCCGCTGCTTCAGCCTGTAGGCGGGCAGCCTCGGCTGACAGCTGGCGTTGTTCCTCAGCCTCGATGAAAGTGAGCTGAGCCTGGAAGCGCTGTTTGTAGTCGGCAATGGACCCGTCATGCTGACGTGGCACTGTGACTAATGTGGCACTGCTGCTCACTGCTGACGTGGCACTGTGCCCGACGTGGCACTGCTGATGTGGCACTGTTGCTGACGTGGCACTGTACCAACTCGAAAATGCATGCAAAGGGTGGGTGGGGAGGGAAAACGCACGTAGGGAACCAACCCAACAATACTTTCCTCCCCGCCCTAATCAACAGATAAAAAAATAAAATAAAAAATAAAAGAGGACTACTTCCTTTTTTTTTTTCTTTTTTTTTTTGTATATCTGTCGATCTATTATGAGTGAGACATGTCAGAAGAGTACTATGAACGAGCTCTAGGCTAGGTTCCACAAAGTTTCGGCTTTCACAAAATGCGATATTGAAAAAAATTTTGCGAGGTAGAATAGAGATGCGATTTTCAGAAAAGAACTAAATCCCGTTTCTGAGAATCTGGCAACCTCCGAGTATGCCTATCGAAATGTTGGTAGGCTTCGCAAGATTTCGGTTTTCAAAAAAAAATTGCGAGATAGAATGGAAATTCGATTTTCAGAAAAGAATCATTCCAGTTTCCGAGAATACAACCACTTCTATCGTTATCCCAATATGCCTAGAGGACGAAATACTAACATCAGGAATTTTCAGCTATGTATGCGAAATATCAGAGAAACGAAATGCTACTATCGGGAATTTTCAGACAAAACGAAATGCGATTTATCAGAAATTTTCAGATATTTGTTACGTAAAAACGAAATACTTATATCAGAAATTTTCAGGTAAAACGAAATGCGAATATCAGAAATTTCAGATAGTTGTTGTGAGAATTGTTTTTTTCAGAGATTTGACGAAGTCCTACTTGATTTACTAACGAGTAATCGATAAATCAAGCAAGCTGGCTATTTGATTGAGCGGGTCCTCTGAATGAGAGGTCCGCTCCGATACCAAACTGTTGCATACCGTAACTGTGCAGACCAGAACAAGAACCGACCTCTCAATACAAAGTATAAGATAGCACAGCGGAAGACTTAGATACCAATGATCCGAACAATCAATATTGCAATGCAGCCCTGAACAGACATCATCATCATCGTTACACGGTGTGAATGGGGTCTGGCGCTTCACACAGGAAGACTGCGCTAGCCCCTACCATGCACAGACGAAGAAGAAGGGGGTTAGACGAAGAGGAGGGGAAGATGGGAATGTCGTCAACACCAAGTCTTCGGCACAGCCCAAATAGTCCCTCGTCGAAATGTCTGAATCCCAAATGTCAAGTCTGGATCCAATGTCGTCAAGTCCCAAGTCACAACTCTCTCTCTGTGGTAGTCCGCTGATACTGAGAAGTCAGGTGGTGAGAGGGGAAGAAGAGATGGTGGACTAAGAAGAAGAGGAAGAAAAAATCTCTCTCTCTCTCTCTCTCTCTCTCTCTCTCTCTCTCTCTCTCTCTCTCTCTCTCTCTCCAGTACTAACCTGTGAAGTTGGCGCCTTGATGCAGGTACCTCAAAGATGGAGCTGGAGCTATGGAGCCACAGGTAAGTCTCGCTGGCCTCCGCCAGCCATCTCTCCCAACTCTACTATCTACCACCTACCAGCGCCCAGCGCTGAAGACTACTGCTATGGCTATGGGCGCCCAGYGCCGAAGACTACAGCTAACGCTGAAGACTACTGCCTAGCGCTGAAGACTACTGCAGCGCTCCTGCTGCGGCCGAATCCTGAAGACTACTCGTGCCTACTGACAACTACCTACCCGTGAAGTGCATGGGAACTTCCTATGTACTACCGGGTGCCTCCTGACTGCAGGCGAGGCAGTCCAGGAGGCTGCTCTTGCCAATGTCGAAGGGAGGCAGGGGCTGCAGCTGCAGCTCCTGCTTCAGCTGTCGTGGGGAACAGGCTAAAGATAGCCTGTTCCGAAAACCCTGTTTTTGTGCCTGAGTCCTAGGGTCGGTCGAAACGATGAGGGCCTGAAAATGGCCCTCCGTTTCAGGCTGAAAAGCCTCTGGGCCTGAAAGGCCCAGAAATAGGCTGAAAACAGAATAGGGCCTGCAGGCCCTCGTTTTTCAGTTTCAGGCTGAAACGGCCGGGGCCTGTAAGCCCTATTTTCTAGGCTTTTAGGCTGAAAGTGCGGGACGGGCCCTGCAGGGCCCGTGTGGCTACGGAGTATGCCACAGTATGTGTGTGCATGGCTGCATATTGTCTGTTGGTCGGTCTGTCCGCCTGCCTGCCTGTCTGTAGTGTTAAACCACCACTACTTCGCCCTCCAGACAAATCGAATGGCTGCGGCAAATATTCATTACCCGCAGTGAAATTTGAAATTTTGAATGTGATTATTATGTTTGTTAAACTCTGTTGGCACACACGTGCAATTTAGGCTACCAGAGTGGCCCGGGCCCAGTTGGCCGGCTGGGCCAAAAAAAACATTAAAAAAAAATCTTAAATTCGGTAAAGAATTTCGATGTGAACCTGGGGCAAAAGTTGTTCAATTCATTTTTCTGCATTACATAGTTTATTTTCAGGGTTTTTTTTTTTTTTTGCTGGGACCTTCTGGGGTCCTTGCACGGCCGGACTGCCAGGGAAAACAAGGTAACCCGGGCCGGGCCTCCCGCGCGGGCCTAAGGGTGGCCCGTGGGCATTCTTTTGGGCAGGCCCTTGGTCCCCTACCGTGTTTGCCCGAATAGAACCGCCAGTCATCATAGCTGTATTTGGGGCAACTTTCAGTCTAGATGCAGTGATCAGAACCAGGGTGTTCAATTTGGGTGATGATGGCAGCCCTCTCCAAGGCCTTTTCAATGGCATACATGGCCCTACAGGCGCCTTGGACTGCGAGTTCCCTGATAGGCATGTGAGTATTTTGTCGATTCTCAGGTCTGTTTTATTCAGTTTGTTTTGCTTTCGATATCTGGCAATCTGCACATTTTGTTGGTGTCCGATCAGTTTTCTTTTACGCCAGCTC